ATGGATAAATAATATAAAATATATAATATAATCTTCAAAATGACAGAAATGAATAGCTTTCGTGGAGCATTTTGTTCTAAATCCGAACTGAACTAAATCCCAGATAAAATATTGTACAAAATGCATGCGACAAATAAATTGTTTTGATAAAATCCAACATGACACACACCTTGCCCAATTTCCAACTTCAACTCCAACTCCAGGTGAACACACACACACACGCACACACTCGACATCGGCAACAACAAAGTTGTTGCAACAACAATGCGCAATCGACATAATCATATCGTGAGAAATTCGTTATAGTCGAGCAGATGTGTGTGCTGAACGATTCGTGGGTCCTGTTAAAGGGCAAACGAGGCCAAAAGCACCAAAATGGAGGCAGTGGAGAAAGATGGACTGTGATATGGTGGTATGGCAAAAGCATTTTCATGCTTAACGGGCATTAAAAATGTTGAGCAAAAACAGACAAAGCCCGAAAGAAAAATGAAGAATAAAACAAATCAAAAAAGCAGAGATATATACATACATAGATAAAAATCGCAAAGCCCCAAACACAACGCCCACTTAAATGACAGCAAGTGGATTGGTTTTCACGACTCTTATGGTGGCTATGGGGTAGCGGGCAGAGGGGCAGCGGGGCGCCGGACACACGCCTGGCATATGTTCACACCAACTTGCGAGATGACGGAGCGGGTGTGAAGCTGAAGCTGCCTGTGGTAAGCGAACGATGGGGTGGCATGTCGCATATTTGAGCAACACCCGCATCAGACACTCGAAATACAGTGCGCTCTACAAATTACGAAGCTTCCGCTCTGATTGGAATGGGAAATGGAGAGGGAGAGGGAAGGAGCAGGCACAGGGGCAGGCTTGTGGGTATGGGATGTTATCCCGCGTGCAAGCTGATTGGACGTAATAGAAAACGCAGGCAGGCAGGAAGGCTGGAAGGCAGGCAGGCTGGCGGAGGGCAGGATTTGTGCTTGGGTTTTGTTTGCTTAAGGCAAATGGTGGACAGCTGCAACAACAGCAAGCAAGCAAGCCATGCAGAGAGACACCCTGTGCGTGGAATGATGAACCCTTTGCTTGTTTGCTCTGCGGCTGCTGATGGGCTTGTAATGTGTTCGCTAATGGCATTTGCTCAGTTTTTGGCAACAACTTTTAATTGATGGGGCGGCGCTTGACTTTTGATTGAATGTGTGACAATAATATGATATTGAACAAATTGTTTTTGTTGCAGCCGGAGGAATGTCGCACTCGTTATCCTGGTATCGCAAGGGCGATCGCTATCCGGGCAGCAAGCTCTATGCACGCACATGGACACCAGACGATCCCAATGGAGCGACCAATCAGCATCCAATCCAGCCGCTCTATAGCAACAATGCTGCAAAGAGCAGCGGCTGCAGCAGCAACAATTCGAATTCTAGTCAAAATCACAATAGCAATCAGAGCAGCGAGGACTTCAATGTCAGTGGAAATATAAGAGATGCCGCTGTCGGTCCTGGTGCTGGTGCTGGTGCTGCAGCGAACATCTTTGGCAACGGAGGAGGTCTTTAAGAGAATATTCTTTAACTATTGCAATGCAACGCTCAAGCTAGTCAAGGCATGCTAGTCAACGATATGGTAGTGGCACCTTTAACAGACACACACACATGCATATATATGAATATATATATATATATTCCAATTTTAAAATATTATAAAAATCAACTTGTTCTGTGGTATTTAATTGCTATAAGTTTGCTTACATCTAAATGTTATACTTAGTCGTTTAGTTTACAATTAAATAAATACGAGTATTAAAAATAAAATATATAAATATATAAATTTTTATTGTATTTAAATAACAAATTCAGCATTGGAATGGTGAAATACCATGCGCCTATTGATCCTATAATTTTAAACCATTTGCAGTTCAAGCGACGAGGCCAAAAGGCGCAATTTACAACTAAATAACACAGTTATCAGCACAATATATTGAACACCTGGCCTGCAGCCCCTGTCGCCGATATCATTAAAAGTACACAAGTGCAGTTAGAGTTCTCTCTGGGGTGGGTGTTTAGCTTGGGCAACTAGAAAATTATTTCCGGTCTTCCGACATGCACACGCAGGGCACAGACTACATCAAATTTTATAACAAAAAATTGTATAAAGAGAATATTATTTTTAAGCGTTATAGTTTTGCTGCAAGCGTGGCATTTAAAAAATCATTATGATTGTCATGTTCGGGGCAGGGACAATCGTTAGATGGACAGCTGTCGCTCGTTTCGCTGTCCGTGTGTGTGGCGCGTGTGTATGTTTGGTAGCACAATTTAGATGTTTATCAGCAATTAGGCTTAGCCTTCGCAGGGTGGCGACGTGATTGAACGTTCTGATAAATCAATCCGATCATATGTAAATTAACGAGTCACTATTGTGTTTACGATTTCTGGCTGTTAAACCGCAGATTTAATTAACTGCACAGCTGTACATTTCAATATGGTCACTCTATAATTTAAATCTGTGGAAAGCGCGCAGTGGCGTTGCCGTATCATCCACACAATTGTCCAAAACGCATTTCAAGCTTTTTTCCGACGCTTTGCAGCACTAAGCGACCGCACGCGCAGGAAATTCGCTAGACTTTGTTTTAAAACTTAAAGTAAAAGTAAATATGCGTTTCGCACAAATTGTGGTAGGACCTGCTGGCAGTGGCAAGGTAATCTTTCATTATTTACCAATTAGTTAAAGAGCTTCACCAACATATAATCGCATAGCACAGTCTACCTATTGTAGTAATATGCAACAGCATGCTATGGATGGCAAGCGCAACATTCAGGTTGTCAACTTGGATCCAGCAGCGGAGCACTTTAATTACACACCATTAACAGACATACGAGAGCTGATACATCTGGATGATGCCATGGAGGACGAGGAGTTACACTATGGCCCCAATGGTGGTCTTATATTTTGCCTTGAGTTTCTCATTGAGAATCAGGACTGGCTAAAGGCACAGCTGTGCGGCGGCGATGATGAGCTAATGCTAGGAGAGCCCGATGATGACTACATACTGTTCGATATGCCTGGCCAAATCGAACTATTCACACATCTAAAGATGGGCAAGCAGTTGGTAGAGCTGCTCGAATCCTGGAACTTTCGCACTTGCGTTGTGTTCTGCCTGGACTCGCAGTTCATGGTGGATGGTGCTAAGTTCATATCAGGAACGATGGCGGCGCTCAGTGTCATGGCCAACATGGAACAGCCGCACGTGAACGTGCTAACCAAAGTGGATCTATTGAGCGCCGAGGCGCGCAAGCAGCTGGAACTATATTTGGAGCCAGACACGCATAATCTGATGGGTGAGCTGACCATAGGCACAGGGTTTGGTGAGAAATATCGAAAGCTAACCGAAGCAATTGGCTCGCTCATCGAGGATTTTAGGTAAGTAACTTATATAGATTCCCTACACAAATCAATCTTTAGAGTACCTTTCTCCCATAATGTTAATCCCGTTGTTAATATCTGTTCTCGTAATCTCCCACAGGGAGGGATTGTGGGAGATTACGAGAACAGATATTTATAGACATCGATTTGAATAGTAGTTAAAATATTGTATAGAACTGAATTTATTTAAAAAAATAGTTTCGTATGCATATTTCAACTATCAAGGCTCGCCTAAATGCAGCAAGTACACTTAACTTCTAATTTTCTAAAATATAACAATTGTTTTATGCCTTTGGCTTGCGGGTTGGATGAAATGGATGTTCCATATGTGACAGATCTGGAGGATTATGCTCAAATGCAATAATCTCCTGCATACCACTGTCGGCAATCTGCCAGAGCTCTGGGTACTCCTCCTTAAAAGTGCTGTACCATTTCCGTACCAGCGGATAAGGCGAGAAATCAAAGTCAATGGCTTCCAGGCATAGAGTCGATGAAACCAGCGCAAAGTCTGCAATGGTTACATTTTCAGAGGCCGCGTATTTGGTGCCCAAACGCTGCAGATACGTTTCGAAAACATCGAGCGCGTTCTCGACCTTCTTCAGGGTCATGGGCGTGCGCTCGTAGTCGAAGAATATGGGCGCCATGCTATGCGCCGAAATGGGCGCATAGTAAAAGTTCATATTGAAGCATAGACGCTGATTGACCAGCGCCCGTTCAGTCGGATCCTCCGGATACAGGGTCGACAGAGGGGAGTACTTATCGCACAAATATTGCATAATTGCAATGCTCTCGGACAGATGGAAGCCATCGTCGTCCAGTACAGGTATCTCCTTTTGTGGATTCATCTGTGGGTAGTAAGAAATTTATTTAAATTGTCAACTAATTGTTAACTTGAAGGCAACCCACCTTCGCATAGTCCGGCGTACGGTGCTCCAGTGCACAGAAGTCCACATTAATTAGCTGGTATTGGATGCCCAGTGCCTTGAGGGCCATGCGCACGGCCAGCGAGGGCGGTCCATCCGATACGGCGTATAACTTCATCGTATAAATGGGTCTGTATTAAATTATGCACAAAAAATGAGATTGCAAATGAGTTAAGGTATCTCGTATAACCGGTTTCAATTGTGGCCAGGCCAACAAGCAGGTTCCCATTAGACAAAGCGAATGTAAATTTTGTTGCTGTCATCTACGCGATGTATTTGATTTTTAATATCTCGGCATTTACCCAATTGGAATTCGCTCCGTAATAGTGAAGTGCGCACGCGTAGCTCTTAAAACCGACTGAAACCGAATGCCAAAATCGTTTTTACTTTTCAATAGCTGCTCAACATACCAAGTTGTAAAACTTGAACTTGGTCGACTTTCAATTGCCCTGTAATTTGGTTATCTGCTTATCTATGGACCAGCGAATCTATTATGGAGCCCGGTTAATTTCGTATTCCGATAGCAATTCGATGTGGGTTAAATCTATATATTATAATTTATATTTCCATTAGGGTGCACTTACTCAATATTGCCATAGTTTTCCATTTCGGGCACCTCCTCGACAACTTCGATTATGGCATCCGTGTTGTCTTCTTCGACAGTCATGAACTGCCCCTCATCGGTTATGGGTGCCTCTTCGATATCCTCTTCGTCTTCGACAACCACATCCTCCTCGAAGTCGTGTTGCTCTTGAACCTGCTCCTGTGCCTGCAGCTTGTGTTTTAGAGCAGTTGAGTTTAGCGTCTCTTCTCTCTTTATTTTTGTTGTGGATATGCTGGTGGTGCTATTTTGGCTGCTGCCTGCACTGTTGCGTGGTTTCTTGTGGACCACAATACCATCTGTGAGATTGGATACATTGAGCTGTTCGACATAAAGGTCTCCGTACTCCTGTTTGATTTGCTCCAGAGATTTTCCGATGAAATGCAGTGGCCGGAACTTGAGTTTTTTATTGTTCTTTTTGTTGATTTCATTGAAGAGTCGCCGTTTGATGTCGTCCTCGCTGAACGGATGACTGTGGCTGTTGTAGACCCGCAGAACACGGATAGAGCCATCCTTTTGTGTGGCCGTCGATATGCGGCTCTTGCAATTGATCTCCGGATCACGGCTCTTGATGCACACCCAATAGTTGCGCGAGATGAGGCCCCGATTCTTGGCATGATAGATGTAGCCATCCACGCAAAGCATCTCGCTGCCCTTGGCCGACCGCAAAGTACAGATTTTGGTCAGATCCATGTCCGGGGGAAGCGAAGTTAGTTGAGCATTGTTGTTGTTGTTGTTATTGTTATTGTTAGGCGCTGTGTTAGTACGACGCTTTCGTAGATTAGTCAGTTGTGGCTTAGGCGTCGATGTGGTGGGCTGCTCAATGGCCCCTAAATCATTGGGCAGGATCTCGATTTTGGCGCTGATATTGTCGGCGCCATCGTTCATATACTGCACAATCATTGAGGCTGCCTGCGGATGCTCGGGCTCCAACTTGATGCCATCAATGCCAATTACCTTTTTCATGACCACATTTTGGTGGCCGTCGCTAGCGTTGGAAGACAACGACTGGTCTTTCAGTTTCTCATAGTTGGCCACCTGCTCAGCAACTGTGTCTGCCTCTTCCTCCGTGTCCAGGTCATCTTGACTTTCAAAGTCAGTCTCTTCAGTGCCAAGTGACTGTCTCGCCGTGTCGCCTTGCTCCGGTTGGTCATTGCCATCTTGCTTCGTCATCTCCTGCAGCTTTTCCTGTTTCCTTTGCTGATTAATGCGCCGCTGTATCTCCTGCAGATCGGGTTTATGTGTATGCTCGCCATTAATGCGCAGCACCTCTGGCCCATTCTCGACGGGATCCAATGTGACACGAACATGACAGCTTTGCTGCTTATCGCGCCGCATGATGCACGTGAAGAACATGTGACCGTTGGCACGGCTCTGCGAGTCGAAGTGAAACAGATGGCGGTCCAAGCAGAGCACCTTACGTCCTTTTGCCGATGGCAAGAATGTGAACTTGGTCAAATCGGTTTCGGTCAGCGGATCATAATCCGGCGGACTCACATAATTATCAATGATATCAGCAGCATTTGGCCATTTCATTTCGTTATCGGGATTTGGGTGCTCTTGCGGTTGTGTTTCAGTCAGCGCAGACTGACTGTTGTCGAGATTCATATAGACCTCATAATTCTCCTCGCAATCTTCAATGATTATGGAGCCAACATCATCGCCCTTCTGGGATCCTGAGCTTAGCTCGGGATCAAAGTACTCCAGATTGGGGCACTCCTGCAGTACTTCCACTGTTTGGTCATCGTCTACCAAGAGGATCTGGTGTCTGGTAAACATTTGCATTAGCTTGTCAGCGGAATAGTGTGGATGTATATGCGCATCCGATTCCATTAAATGCAACCGATGTGCCCCAGCCAAGGTTGCCTCCGTGCAGATCTTTGCCGTGCACTCAATATCTCGCTTCCTCACACATGTCCATCGGTATAGGTCGCCCTTGTACGACTTGCCAGCCAGATAGTACAGCTGCCCATCAATGCACACCATAACGCGACCATCGCGACGGCGCAGCATATAAACTCGATCTTTATCCTGCAAAATGAATGGGAATTTTTAATTAATATTGTTCAATATTGTATAAGAATGCTGAATTTATCTCATGAGATATCATAATCATATTAAACATATTAATGAATTCGATTTTATGAGCAAGTAAATGTACACTCCATTTACTTAAATTTTCGGCTTAGTGAATCCAAAACAGTATTTATAGCTAAATGACTCATAAACTAAAATTTTCGATTGTTGGGAATTATTAGCTGGTAACAATATGTATATGTACATGGCCATACAAATAAATTAATATACAATGCGGACTGTGATTTCTGCAAGATGAACTTATAAGTCTCTCACTTTGATAATCTATCTAAACTCATGATTCCAAATTAGCATATCAAGAGAAATTGAGACACACCTCGAAGTCTAGGTGAAACGAATATTGAAGTGCTTCGTTTTCTCTGTTTGTGGATATCCATTCGGGTGGATTGAGACCGGCAGCGGCGCGCTCGTATAGTCGGGCGCGCTTTGGTTGCGTGCTGCTATAGGCATCATTCATTTTCATGTTGGACAGTCGCTTGCGTTGTGAGACTTTTGTGATCTCATGACTGCTGCAGCGTGGATGGACATGTGCCTGAATAACATCGACCACAACATGCTTGCTCTTATCCGTGGGATCGGGCACGATGGTGGAGATGCGCGACCGGCATGGCGTCACCTTATCCTTTCGTCGATTGCATAGCCAACGGTATGTGTTGTTTTTGCCAATGCGATCGAAATGATAAAGGTAATCATCCACACATAGCATGTCGACGCCCTTGGCGGAGCGTACAACATACACTTTGGATAAGTCCATGTCCGTGTTGTCATCCATGTTTTGAATTACGGTGCGGTCGTAAATTCAGGGTTTTTTAGCTTCTTTGCCGTTTTTGGTGTGTGCCCAAAAAATGTTGTGTTGAAAATGAGTCTATTTTGCTCTTGTTGTTGCTGTTGCTTGGGATTTTTTGGGGTATTTTAGACACACTTTGTTTGACCCGCCAAAACTGGTGGGCGGTGCACTTAATTAAAGTAGATGTGACTTATTTTGTTATATTATGTATAATTAAGCTCTATTTGTAATTTTAAGGTTGAGTTTATGCGCACATTTTACGACGCGACGAAAAATTATTTTCTCTAAACCAGGGCTGGCAAGTATGCCGCGTTGGCGTTGCCACTGTACAGTCTGTACATTAATTAAACAATATTAAACATGAAATTATTGTTTATATTCTAGTTTGGTGCGCTTTTTTCCATTGAACATTGATGATGAGGAGAGTTTGAGCGATCTTCTGCTACAGATCGACAGTATTTTGCAGTATGGAGAGGATGCCGATGTACAAGTACGAGATTTTGATGAGCCAGAAGTAAATGAAAATGATGACTGTGTTCCTGATATGTAGAAGCTCTTACATTTAATGTAAATAATAAGTAAATGATATGTATTAATGTAAATAAATGTATATAAAAGCAACTTTATTTGCGAGTAGTTTCATAAGTTACCGAATGGAGTATTTTTTAATTAAAAAATAAACCTGCCGCCCTGGTTTATTTGCTGTGCGACACTTTCCAGCACTAGAATTTTAGACTTCTTGTTTGAATGCGTAGCGTCGGGTTTCGCGTATATAAACAATAAAATAATTTATTTGAATGATACGCAAAGTTAAAATATGGAAGGATCTGATGAGATTAATGCTTCACCTTTGACACAATTGGATATAACGACACGCCTAGCAGCTTTGAATCGTTGGCAAGAGGAACAAAAACGCCTTTTGGAAGAGCGTCAAAACAACCAGCGCCTTATGCTCGGACTGGAGCACCGCAATATGTACCAAATGCTTGGGCTGTTGCACGATGACATTGTGGATGAAAACAACGGAGATACAAATTTAATTGAAAACAATGACAAGCTGGAACAGGAACAGGGACAGGAGCAGGAGCAACAGCACCAACCATCAAGCATTCAAATGGTGCGCCACGCAAAACAGGATGAGGATGAGGGGGAAAAGGCTGAGCAGTGCTTCCAACTTACAGATATTTCTACTAGTCCTCGACCCGCAAAGCCCAAAAAGCCATTTTTACGGCGTGGTGATGGACTAAAACAGCGCTTCAAAGTTGATCCTGACCAATTGCGTCTTAATAATTTACCGCGCTACAAATACGCCAATGCTCATCCACAGTACCGCAAGCCCACTTTGATAAAACAGCAAAAGCGCAGCATTTTAAAGTCGCACAAAGTGCCAACTGTTGTACAGAAAGCAATAGCGATGCCCCCACCACCACCTCCACTGTCAAAGAAGGAGCATCGCTTTCAGCAGCCACTGATAAATTCCAAGACCGTGTGCAGTTCCACCCCGGATCTAAAGTCTTCCTATACTTCAACCAGTAACACGAATTCTACTGTGTCGCCGAAGGTTCGCTTTGTCGAGCTAAACGACGCCAAAGGGCAAATGGCTGATGATGAACACTCTTCCGAGACAAGTTCCAATGCCTTGGCAAACATGTGTTGGGCAAAGGTGCTAGACTCGCAGCAGATTAGGCCACCTGTACTGCATCGACGCTCGGCTCAGATACGAGTGGAAAGTGACGACAATATCAGCATATTTGAGCTGTTGGAGCAGAAGGCCCGTGAGGGTAACGTGGACATGAACTCTAGCTGCATACGTACATTCATGGCACGCAAGGAGAAGAACCGTCAGGCGGATGCTGACGATAGCGATCAGATAGTTATTTCCCAGCAGATGCGTGAAATGCGCCTGAAACCACAAGTGTCGGAGGTGATCAGTGAAACTGATGACGATGATAATCCGGATGAGCAGGAGAGTACCTTGATCCAGACGCCGATAAAAATTAACGCCGGCAAGGCTCAGGTACATGTGCGCTTTTCCGATTCCAATGATACCCATCAATATTCAGATGAGACAACGGTGCAGGACGGCACAAATGTAGAGCTCTTTGAGGAGTTCAAAGCGGCGTTGTTTCAGGCTCTGGAACAAAGAAAGGCTCAACCGACACAGAGCGCTGCTGGCGATGAGCAGCTAACCCAGGAACTGCAAGCGAAGGCGAATTTAGTGCGTACGCGCCTCGAGGAACTGGAAGCAGAAATCGCCACATTTAAGGAACAAAATGCTCAGCTTTTGCGGCTCAAGCAGCAACACGAGCTGGACAAGGCCAAGTGTGCTCAGGAACATTTGGAGGCAATGGAGCGTGTGCATGATGAGAAAATCCAAGCGGAAATCTATTTGCACGATGAACGCATGAAGATTGAAGAGGAACGTCGCAGGTTCGAGCAACAGATGCGTCTTCAAAAGAGCAACGTCAATAGCAAGGATAAAAAGGAACTGGCGGCGCTTAAGCAAGAGGTGGAGGCCCTTCAGCTGCAGCTGAAACAAAAGGAACAGACTCACGTGTCAGCGCAGGCGCGACTTCGTGCTCAGCTGCGTGCCGCTGAAAAGGAGCAACGCAACTACAGGGACGAGATTGAGTTGCTTGGGCGGGACAACAAGCGCCTGGAGCAGGAGATAGTGAAGCTAACGCGAGATAACAGTAGCAAAATGCTTCAAGAAATTAATCGCAATATTGCACGCTTGGCCCCAAAGCTGGTAAGTATTTTACGAATATTTAAAAATGTTTTCAACTCAAGATTCGCATTTAGCAGGAGGCAGCTGCGTCGGCGGCCAAGCATACGGATGAGAATGGCAAACGGCAAAGCAAGTCCATTACGAACATATTGCAGGATAAGTCGACGAGCCAACAGCGCCGTCTAAATCGAAGTCGAAAAAAGTCAGAGCCTCTCAGCGAAAGCTACGCATCGAGCAGCTCCTTCGAAATGGATGATGTACCCATGCCAAAGCCGGCAAAGCCGACAAAGTCAGCCACAGCAACTGGTGACACAATTTTTGCAGATCGCAACAAGAACAACAATAATAGCGGAAGCAATAACAACAATCATAACGGAAGCAATAATCATGACAATAAGAGTAACAACAATTACGGCGAAAATAGTGAGTTCAAGCGTGAGATTGTAAATGAGGATGGCAGTAAAGACATTTGGTATCCAAATGGCAATCTTAAGAAGATCAGTGCCGATGGTATGAACGTGCGCATGCTGTACTTTAACAAGGACATTAAGGAAACGGATATACGTGCTGGCACAGTCAAGTATTATTATGCAGAGACTAACACATGGCACACTACCTATCTGGACGGTCTGGAGATACTTGAGTTTCCAAATGGACAAACCGAGCATCGTCACAAGAATGGCGTCATCGAGATTCATTTCCCGAACAATTCCATTAAAATTGTCGATCCCAGCGATACGGAAAAATTGGAAGAATGGCGCTATGCGGATGGCACGCATTTGATTCAACTGCGAAACGGTGATAAGATATTAAATCTGCCCAATGGGCAAAAGGAAATACACACCAAATTGAACAAACGTCGCGAGTATCCTGATGGCACAGTTAAACTTGTCTATCCGGATGGCAGCCAGGAAACCCGCTATTCTAATGGACGTGTTCGACTTAAAGATAAAGATGGCAAGCTAATAATGGATACGGACTATGCCAAGTATTAGATAGCATCTCTATTTATTTATAAATTGTATGCAATTTAATGAAATTAGTAATGCCTAAAATAAATATAATTTGTTAATATAAATATAACAAACAAGAGTACATTATTCAAGATATGCAAGTTCTATTAATAAGAGAAAACAATGGGATCGATCTACTACTGACTGTCCACTAAACTATTGCAGTCAGTGTAGCTTGTATTCGTGTTATCTGCAGCTGGAGTAGGCGCTTGCATGCCTTCAGGATTATCCATGGCTTCGGCCATCATAAGCTGCTTCTGAAAGAAGCTGACGTCCTGGTTAAATAATTTGGATGCAAATTGAATAACTTGCTGATAGGTAAATTCGCGTTTGGCGCGTTGTCCCCAACTGTAGGTAATCTTGGGATCATCGAAAGGATTCAACTGTGAGCGCTCTCGTTTCAGATACTCTTGCTTCACAAATGTTTCCTCGACCAGTTTTGATATGTCGGAACCAAAGTATTCATGCTCCTCGTGCACATTAACTCCCAACGTATCCAGCATGGTAAAGAGCTTGCCTTCCTCTATGTGACACCCGCGTAAAAAGACGTAGGTAAGTATAATGTATAGCAGTGTGAATTGCGGACGCTGTGCAGCGGTTAGCTCGAAGGTGGACGTCGGTGGTGCTTCGGCTATACAGATGTATCTTTTGGGGTTTCCATCGAGCTGGACTAGCTTAATGCCGTAGAGATTTTCCAGCAGTTGGGTGACCAACGGAAGTCTTTTAATAACTTCCGCTTTTCCATCCGTCAGAGGAATTAAATCATTGTGTTTGATCGGAACCTTATTGGCCGAATGGCATAGAATAAAATTCAGAATGGCGCGCACTTGCTGATCTATCTCGACATGTTGTGGTTCCGCCTGAGTCGCATTTATTGATTGCTGGGAACGTGATGTATTGCGTCTTTGTGAGGCATTTCGCGATGTGCTGGCCATTAGATTGATGGATTTCGGCTTGACTTTACTTTCTTTTGACTGAGCGCGAAATTAAGAACAGCTATTAAAAAGAATTGATAGAGTTGCCAACTTTGTAAAAAACTGCTGAAGTGCTGTTAACATTACCAAAATGAGTAATATGTTAATTGCTATCGATAGCTTTTTGGGTTAACATAAATTAAAAAATATATTTAATAATTTTATTTAAAATAAATTTTATTTTACGATATTGAATTTGACCACCTTGTTTTTGATTGCAGCAATTAAAGTCATTTTTAAATAATATATTTAGTTTGCATATTTCGCGGTAGTCCAAATTATATTGTAAATGATGAATGAAGGCTATTATCACAACGGCTATACACATATGTACATATCTAAAGATACACATTTGTATGCAAAAAAGCCTAACTAGAAAGAAACTAACTGCTTTATACTAAGCTAGTTAGCTATTATTACTTTAGGCTGCGTAGCAAAGCTAAGCCAGATGTTGTTAACGTTTTCACCTATAGCCGTTAAATAAATAATGGCCGTTAAATTAATGTAGTCGTCAAATAAATTAAAATCCTTTAAATGGCTTATTTGCATGCATAAATTGACGTCAAAGTAGGTTGAACAAATCTCGTTAACCTTGACTAAACTTAAAATTTCACTTTTCCCACTTTTGCCACTACTTAGTTGCAAAGTGTGTCAAAGGCTTGAACAAAGGTACTTAAGTACGTCCATTACAATGGACTTATGGCTTTTATTGATTTATATGCTCAAGTTCGGCCCTTTGCCAGCTAAGCAGAATCTAGTTAATTGAATGCCAGTTAAGTGAGATGCATAGTCGCCATCGGACTGATGAGTTTTCAGTGCAGCGTATGCAGATGAGCATTTAAATTGCAATTGTCATTTAAAGTGTGTGTGCTGTGCGAAGTGTTTATTTGTTGTTTTAATTAAAAATGGCAAAGATATGCGAATAGCAGCAGGAAGCAAACAACTTTCAAAACAAAATGCGAATGACATGCACGGTCAACATTCACCAGACGAGCAGCTCGTCAAACAAAACAAAACTGCAGCAAACGAGCCAACGTAATGAAATTGAAATGCATTTTGTGTGCAGACACGCGCCTTGGACCCGTCTGCCGGCTTTGCTTAAACATAGTTTATTGCCTTGAAATGTGTGTTTTAGTGAAAACTAGTTATGTATGGGTACCTGCGTCGGGATCTGTTGCAACTGCGTAACTCTTGCCACACAAGCACACGAGCACATGAACACACACACCTTAACTTATACACACCCAGGCTTTCTCACTAGCACTCACACACACACACACACACTCACAGACTATGCTCAGGCGGAAGGCGCTTAGCAGTGTTTGGCAAGTTGGCAAATCTTTAATTAATTTTCCATTGTAGTTGAGCTAAAACAACACAAAGTAAAATTCAACTCGTAAATTTATGCACACCTTTTGTGCTTTTCCGAAATAGAAATTAGTAAATTCCGTTTATTTGTTTGCTATTTGATGAAAGATTTAGAGCTTTGACTTGCGTACAAGATTTGCATATGAAAAGCTTAAGAATTCATATGCATATTAGTGTGGATTATTATTATCATTATCATCATCAGCCCAAAGCAAAAGTGAAATGTCACGAGCTGTAGTAGAAACTCCGTTGGCCGCATGCATGAGTAAACAGTAACAAAACTCTTTTGCTTTGAGTTTAGCTTTAACTTTAGCTTTACCTATGTATATATGTATGTCTTTGGCTTTAACTTTGGCTTTCTATACACAGATCAACATTTTTGCTTTCAAAATGCGCAATGTAATGTCAACGTTTTGTATATTTTTCGTTTTTTATGACGTCTGGCTAATTGTACTCGCCGAAGAAAATTTTGAAAAGAAAGTCAAGGTCTTTGGCAAGACTGTGACAACAAAGTTGTGCCACAGCTTGATGTGGTTTTTAGTGAAATGTACATTCAAATTTAGCAAATGGCCAACGCGCAAGTCATTTAGAATTTCCATGGCAAACTCGCAACTCACGGGCAACGGGTTTCATTCAACATGCTACACAAAAACTATTAATATATTATTAACAAAAATTCAAATAGCAAATGGGAATGTCATGCTGCGATACTCTGTCCAAAAAATCCATCATATTTCTTTTACTTTTGTATATCTGAAAAGTAATAAAGATGATGATAATGATGTTGATGATATGATGATGAGTACAGCTGGCATAATAAAAATAATAATGAAAATGTTAATGAATTAGAATAATGATTATTAAAGGTATAATGCAAATAATAATGAAAGTACTAATGACAATGCTAATATAAATGAGGAAAAATAAATTAAAATTACCGTATTTTATTATTGATAGTGAAGATAGCGAAGATTAGCTAAATAATATAGATCAAGATAATGAAAATTAAAAATCAATTATAATGATAATGTAAGGCTAATTTTTATAAAAATTGAATGAAAGCTCTTATGCTTAATATTTAGGATTGTAACAATGGTAATGATAGCCAATAGTCTAATAATAGTAATAATGATAACGGTAAAAGTAATAGTAATAGTAATAGTTATAGTGATAATGATAACAAATAGTCTATTATCTAATTCAGTCCACATATTTTATATCTTACAAGTCACTTGAGTCCGTCCACTATATACGCCGCAATGTTAGACATTTTCAGACATTTTTAGCCGGCTAGTTCTTGGCTCGATCTGGTTGCGTGCTGTGCTTGAAAGTGGTCTACCTTCAGCTGACTGTTTGGCATTCTTGTCGAACTGGTGTCAAGCTGCTTCTGAAGTGCACACGCGCCTCCAGCCACGGCAACGACAACGACAACGGCAACGGCAACGGCAACAACTTTTGCTCCGGCTTAAGCCTCTGAACCGGCATTTCGATTAGACGGCAAACGCAAATCGAATTATGACTGTGTCGGGCGACCAGTTATGGAATTTGTGCTAAATATCAATAGGGTGCGCAATTAACAACATTTTTCCAATATAGACATTTACATTATTCATGTGGCGATTCGTCTATAAATTTTGGCAGCCAGCCTCGTTCGCATAGCCAGCGAGATGACAAGTTCTGCTTCGAATCAGGCCAATTAAGATGTTGCCCACTTTTGACCCAAATACATAGTCTAAACGATGTAAGGCCTCTCGCATTTAATCAGTTTTAATGGCCTGCCCCACTCAAGCGCTGATAATCAAATTAGGCGCTTATCAACAATTTTGCAACGCACCATAAAGTGCAACAATAAGCAATAATTAACGAGTTTTACATTTATTTATATCTAGACACATAAATTTAGTTAGGCCCGCGGTCTCGCTCACTCGTGCATGCCAAATCGCGCATACGCACAGTGTGCTGCATGTCTAAGCACGGGCCTGCATTTGCAGGGGGTCGGCTGCCATTGTCTGCGATATAATATGTTCGCATTTGAGCTAACAATTATGCGCTAAGCGGATCCAAAGTATTTCATTAATGATTTAACTGTTGGCCAGGTTTGGAATTGAACTTGAAGTTGCCAAATGAAAAATGTTTGCAGAGTGACGAAGTTGTCTAAGATGTAAGCGGATGAAATACTAATACTTATAAATGAGTCGAGCCTAACCTATATTTCTCTCAAAAAGTTGCAAAATAGTAAAGTTTGCTTTCAATGTGATGTAAGAGTATGACGGCAAGTGGGCGTGGTTAATGCCAGGTGGGAAAAGGAGCAAAGTGCAAATTGCATAGGCAACAGCTAAAATTTCTATCAGTTCTCGATAGAAAATCGTATTTCAATCTCAGCTAAAATATAATATGGAGTAATAGCCCCAACACTAACGTGAATTGCTTCATTTTGTATGCTCTCTGACCAAAATACTTTGTTTGACTACATTTCGTGAAGGTCATCAAAAAGTTGTTTCTAGTTTCATTAATTTCCTTGGGCGCTTTGTTTTCGTGGTCAGCGTCTTGAGTCTTGTTTCGGTTTTTAGTTAGATATTTAAAAAATATCTTGAATTGCTCTTGAGATTAAGATGCACGATCATGATGGCAATTCTAACTGCTATTTGAAGCTTTATATCTTATCTATTTTATGGCTTTAAAGTGGGCTAAAAAAACAAGAAAAACAGAAAAAAACCCCATGTTTCTATTATGTTTAATTCATGGGGGTTATTAATTATGAATTGGATACATATATAGATTGACTTAACAATATGGCTATTTTAAGTTCACATTGAAAGTCTAATTGAACGTCAGCTCCGGCTGTTCAGGGACCAAAATAACCCTAGAATGAGTCAGCTTGCTCGACTCAGAAATACCTGACATAATTCTCTACGCTTGGTAAATACTAAACAGTTGCCCATTAAATTCAATTTCGATTTTTTTCTCGACCTGCGCGAACATTTTCGTGACGTCTCTGAACCAACTTTCGCAGCTCGTGAAGGTCGATTGACGACTTTTTATATATGTATATACGATTTTTTCGTATCGAATATGACAAATCTGAATCACATTGTTTCGAGTCGTATTTAGTATGCAGTCGACAACGTTGTCGCCAACAGCCTTGGACAAACATTTGCATTTCTGATGGGAGAGCAGTAAAAACAAACAGGTATTACATCAATCTTGGCCAGCTTCCTGTGTGAAAACTTTCACAAATCTGGTGTGGCCCAGCGACAACAAAAGATTGACGTTATTGTATTTCATTTATAATTATTAAAATTTTGTATCGCATCGCATAAAATTAACATAATATATTTTTATTTTTTTGGGGCAAGTTGCTTGCTCGTGGATCACTCTGAAGTCATGGTCATGGCTAATAGATTGACTGGCCAATGTGTCAACGACTCTTGCACCTGGCATCAAAATGTCAAACGACTATTCAAATGACACTCCAAAGTGTTTTTGTTTTTGTGGGTCATTTACACTCGCAAAACAACTCGAGCTGGAGCTTAGCCAATGACATTTGTGCGTGTGTTTGTGTGCTCTAATAGCTTTGCATACAGTGCTTAACATTGAACAAACTTGTACACCTGTACACCAGTTTCTTAATAGACTTTAGTTTGAATTAAG